AGAGTGTGCCCTTTTTACCTTTAGAGCCTAGGGCTACAACTTCCTGAAGAAGGGTTAGAAGGTTCAGGAGACTGTTTTCCTACATCCTTCTCAGCACTGGGTTTTATCTATCTCTGTAAAATTTCAGCATTTACTTTGTTAAGCCCATACTAATTCTTTCCTTTCACCATTGACTCCATCCTGAAAGAACTGCAGAACGGCTTCATGCAGTAATGTTACCTGCTGGCTGAAAGACCTTCAGGTCAAAGGAGAGTACTTCCTTAACGTATCGACCAGAATTTGGAACGGGACTTTTGCAGCCGTAAGTATAAGCTTTATTTGCTGGGCTTATCAATAGCAAGGATGCGTAAAGTTTCATTCTCAGTAAGTTCATACCCTTTGACAAAAGCAGTATTCTGGCTGATATCAGCAATGCCCCGGAGACTCAGAGCAATTTTACTCTGGAAGGCAATAGGCTTCTGCTCCCTTTCCAAAGCTTGCCCAACCTGGTTGTGCCTCAGCATCAGCTTCATAGACTCCACGCCACCCTACTATGTCAGAATGTCTGAGATGTCATCAGGATCCCCTGTGCTGTCCTGGGGCACAATGGGCCACGTCGTTTGTCTTCATCCTCGTGCCCTTGACATTTCTGCCTTCCCAGTCACTTCTAACGTGCGCAAATCAAAGTACTCCTGTCTGTCTCCTTCCTTGAGCTTGCGGCTGACTGGTCTCAGCCCACCACATAGATGAATCTTGCCACGGGAACTCTCTGCTCTCCTGTTTTACCCTTTCTCTGGTGAAGGTCCAGTGTACATACATCTTTTTAAAAGTCCTTCCCATCTCATGAAAAGTTTGAAGAAAGTGTCAAAACAATGTCAGTGTTTTTTCCATTTGGCAGGTGTGACGCTGCAGGAGTCATATCTGCTTTTAGCTGAGATTTTAGTAGCCAGAATCTCAGTCTGGCATGAAAAATAGGATAGACAGGGCTCCTTAAAGCTGACTGCGTAAGTAGCCAGCTATTCATTTTCTCAACACTGGCTCTGATCAAGGCAGCAAAAAAAAAAAAAAAAAAAGAGAGGAAAAAAAAGTCTGAAACCTCCAAGGGTCCTCTTAGTTCTTGTGGATTTTTTTAAATAATGAATCTTCAAGGTGTTTACTAACCATACTCTAGTCCCTATTTTCTAACCATTTCATGAGCTCTCCAACAACCCCATTCTCCCTGCTATGGAATTTTAGGAATAGTGAACTAAGTTCCCTCCAAACTTGTCCCTGAAACCAAAATATGAGCAATATTCTTGGATAAAGATCTAATAGAGGAACCGTGAAAGGCAGGGAGAGGAACAGAGAAGTGGGAGAGTGTAGCATAGAGGAACTGGATTTTCCTCTTGCTTGCTTTTATTTTGTTGTTGGGTATACTCACTTGCAAGCCTTTTGGACCCCTCTAAATCCTGTTAGATGGGAAGCATGCAGTGAGTTATACCACTGTCCCAGCTGATGTAGTTTGGTGCCAGACTTCACCAATTGGTTCTTGTCTCCTTGGATTTGAGGAACAAATGTTTTCCTAGCAACCTCTGCCAGTTGGGAAGGAAAACTGACTGTTGCAAATCAAAATGCAATCATGCTGGCTCTGTAAAAAGCATTTGGGTTTTCTTGAGTTTAAAACTACACTATTTTAACTGTACGACTTTTAAAAGTACCTTCCCAAAAGTTGTCAGGAGCAAAAGTTTCATTTCTAGGAGCAAATTTCTGAAGAAGCGTATTTATGCTTTTTCAGTGGTTACGGATGAGCTGAAAAACCCCCATGAGTCCGTGTCTGTCGAGTCCCTCACATCTTCCTCCTCCACGAAAGGTCAAATGTTTATTCCCACCTTGTTTTCAGCTATCTCAACAGTCAAATGGATGTTCTTAGGCCACTCAGGAGATCCAGTCTGAAATACAAATCTCATTTCCTGTATTAGAGTCCATTAGCATAGTGCCTTTCACCCTTTTCCTGACACACTGCAAGTGAACATTTCCATAATTTTGTCATAAAGTGATGGCTCAGGCTTCCACATGAACGGCATGGTTGGCCGCCGTTTGTAAGGCAAAGCCTCCAGAGTGCGAGCAGGTGTGTTACTGCACTCTTCCAGGTCCGCGTGGTGTCACTACCACTGTTCACCCTCCAGGATACCGTGTGCACAGCTGTGCAAACGGGCAGGCATGGGAGGGCAGATAGATCCATGTTGTGCAGAAATTCTTTTTAGTCTACTGGGACTGTGACACCAGCATCACTTAACTGCTACTTTTCTTTTTAAAGGAAACCATTATCAATACTGTGAACGTTTCCCCAACGATATGTGCTTAAGATACAGGGGTTCAGGCATAAATTCTGATGCAATCTTCCATCTTGAGAAAATTAAAACTAATCACACTGAGCAGGGGGAAAGGAAATAAATTGCTCACTTTCTGGATATGCATTCTCTTTCTGCCTCCCAGATACAATTTAGCAGATTACCTCATGAAGTATGTTGAAACATGTGCCTTAGTAACCAGAAAAACTGAATCCTAGTAGCCAGAGCATAGGAAGGCAGTTCTCAAACCTGGCCATTGTATGCTATTTCAAAGTAAACATCAGTCCCAACATTTGCATTACAGAAAAAAACAAAATATACATCAATAATGTATCCACTGAAAAATCCCTTTTCTGTAACTAGATCCAGGAATACATGTAAAGCTATTTCATATTACATGGTTACCAGTAACAGCATAAAATGTGTCTTTCCTATATGCTGGCCCCAAATCCAGTATTTTATAGAAACACTTAGATTAGGAAACCTGAAATTATTACTCATTATGTAGCCTGACAAAAGGTGCAGGGTGTCATGCATGGCTTGTCATGCATGGTCAAGTTTAAGTGTACTTTTACTGTTTTTAATCTAAGTTTCCATTATTTGACTTATTCAGGTAAATATGTAAGACCTCAAGCTTGCAATTTTCCCTCATAATGCAAACTTCACAAAGTTTTTAAAAATCTGAACCATGATCTTTTCCAATTAAAAACTTCATTTCTAAATCCTGTTTTTCAGCCATTTTCAAGTTAGAATCACCTGGAGAGTGATTTTTATCTGCTGATGCCTTAACTTCACCCACCCAAGATTTGGTTTAATCTGCTATTAATGGCCCAAAGATCCACATGTTTTCAGTTCCCCAGTTGCTTCCCATGTGCGGTCTCACATATATCACCGATTTAGGAATACAAAGATTCTTGGGGCTTCTTCATAGGTGCCATTTGCTCTTGTCATTTTCCAAAGGGAAATAAATAATAAACATGCCAAAGTTTCGTTTGTTAACTTCTGTGAGGATAAAATCTATTCGTATGTTCCAGTCAACTTTCCAGACGGTACAGCTGACAGCATCTGCAGAAATTGACACCTATAACCCTCAAATATACGTGATCGAAGAAAATACAGTCACGGTAAGCACATCCTGTCACCCCAGCAAGCACTAGTCTCTGAAGGCATTTATTTCTGGGAACTTTAAGAATAGTGGTTCTTCTCACTTATGCATCTGTATGAGTTTCTCAGTGAAACTCTAAAAACCTGAGGTTTATTACATTAGGCTTAGTTGGCAAAGTTGTTTGCTACTCAAAAAAGTTCAGTGATGTATTTGCCCTCCACACTCCTGGCCTGCGCCCCCCCCCCCCCCCCCCCACCCCCCGTGAAGCTGGATCAGAAGGGACAGTGCACTGCAAGGCACAACAAAGGGGGCTCCTACTGTTTGTGGCTCCCTAATCCAGGTTTCAACCAGCCTGCCAGCTCTTCCTCTCTTTTCTTGCTCTCATGGCACAGTCTACATCTTAGGCCATGACATTCAAGTCATGCTTATTTGAATCATATATTTTATTGTTTAAATAGAAGTGCTTAAGTATGCCTAATAAATAAGGCATTTATTAGAGGGTTTGGGATTTTTTTTTTTTTTTTTTTTTTTAGTATTCCTTATAGCTAGATACTGGCACTATGTGAAGTGTCCATTCATTAGTTCTTATAGTCTAGAAAACTATAAATGTTCCTCTTGATTAAAAAAAAGAAAAAGAAAAAAAGTCTTGCAAAGAAATGTACTTTCAGAGAAAACAAAGGCTCACTGTTACAAGGGCTGGCACAGGACAACTTTTCCTTTGCACTGAAACTCTGGTTGGAATAGGCCATGTTTAGATATAGTGGGATTTCCAAGCTCAGCTAATCTGCTAGCAGAGCCCTGAGCATTTTCCTCCCAATGCTTTTGTTAACAGTTGGAAGCCCCAGTTTAAGACTCTGCCCCAAGACCAGCCTGGTAGCTGGCCTCAGTCCACTGTTGTAGCCATTAAAAAGCCAATGGCCTTTGAACTCTGGACCTCTCTCAATCCTTGAGAGTAGGACTCTAAGCACTGGTGTCCCACCCCGGTCCCAGGGGAAAGGATTCCAAGAAAGGATCCTGTTCAGCTCCTGGCATACCACCCTCAGGAAAGGGCCACACCCTCTCTTCAGAGGCTAGGGCATGGAAAAATTAGAAATGGAGCCAAAGGAAATGTGGACTTCAAATTCAAAGTACTATGAACTTAGCAGTACTATAGATATTTTAAAAGTTCATTTTAGAAAAATGTAGTGTTCAGACTCTCTGAACATCTGCTGAGGTCTTTATTTTTTTTTTAGAAAATACTATTAATTTCAATTTTCAGTTAACTTATCTAACAATTAAAATGAATGCTTTGGATTTTTCTTGGTTTTCTCTTATCAATACTGATAAATACCAAAGGCCAACTATCACCTATGAAAATATATTTTGAATCCAAATAATCTGGGTTATTTTTTGAATAATACTTGGAATCCAGATAATAAACTGGCATATCCCTATAGGTGGATGAGTGGTTCTTAAATTTATTTGAATCCCAGTCCATTAAAAAATCTGAAACAAAAATTTTTATACTTGTGGATCCCTTTGAATCCATGGACCCCACCCTGGGAAATTCTGGAATGGACAGTAAAGGTATGACTGCCATTAAGCAGTAAAGTACAAATTCAGTTACTTTATTCCTAAATTGTAAAACCTTATTTTAGCTCTTGAAAATATAAATGAAAAGAAAAATAATTACCAAAAGGCAAGACAAAGTTCAGCCAACTCATAAATTCTGTGACAAGAAGCAGCACATCTGCCACTGTAACGGAGTATTAAATCAATCAATAAATTGGGTTTTGTCAACTTGTCTTCCCCAAAATGCAGCTCTTAATATTCTTAATTGTGGAGGAAATGGCAGTGATTCTTTCTGCAATTAAAAAAAAATACATAAAATATATTTTATATATATATGTGTGTGTGTGTGTGTGTGTGTGTGTGTGTGAGAGAGAGAGAGAGAGAGAGAGAGAGAGAGATTTATATATGGATGATACGGTTTTACCATTAGAACTCTTAGGGCAGCCATTCTATTACAAAGTCACAAAGATTCCCAGAAAGCAGACATGGAGAATCACAAGTAGCCTCAAGGACAGTTTATCACTGAAAAAGGTCAGCCTGAGCTGTTACTTCCACTTTTTAACAACCCATATCAAATAACTTGAGTGAGTTAAGTGAAAGGAATACTTAGGATCCTAGTACAAAGCTGCTGTTGCTTAGTCATAAGGGATCTGGGGTTGTTAATTTGTTTGGTCTTCGACTCCCCTCTCCAAAACTGGACTCCAAATGCTGTCACTTGGCGATGAGACTATGCCAGAAACCGAAGTTCCTATTTCCTAAATAAAGCCTCTGAGGTTGTCAGAGGTGACATACTCACTAAATACAGACACAAAAAGAGAGGAAACTAGAAAATTTGTATTCCTTGCCTGTACTGTGAAGAAGCATTTTTTCTAGAAATTATACTGCACAACGTTTAGCTGAGGAACGAGATCATGCGTGAGTCATGTCACCTTTCTGGACCACCATTTATAGGATTAGAGAAATTGACTAGACCAGCTCACTCCTTCTGGGTGCTACAATTATTTAACTACTGCATATACACATTTACAGATTCCCATCATGATAATGAAACCCCATGAGAGAGCTGAAGTACCAACTGGAGTTATAGTAGGGAGTGTAATTGCTGGAATCCTTTTGCTATTAGCTCTGGTTGCGGTCTTATGGAAGGTAAGAACATTTTTATATTTAAAAACATGGGGCTCCTAAAGACATTGGTCTTGAATTTCCTTATCAAACAGTAGCCTTAAGTTTTATATAGTACCCCCTCCATCATAAGAGAAAAGAAAATGCAAATTTATTTGCAAATTCTCCCATCTGTCCTTGAAAACAATCAGTAAGGATTTTATCTCTCTGGTCTTGGCCCATATATGTAGGTATGTATCTGTGTGTGTGTGTGTATGTATATATACACACACATATATATGTGTATATACACATATACTTTTTTTTTTTTTTAAGCCTGCCTTACATCCTGACCCCTGAATGTTTTGTTCAGCTGCAAATAAGTACACCCTGGAATATTTTAACTTTATGCAATTCAGAATTCAGTTCAACTCCCTGGGTATGATTTCCTCACTGAAAAGCTCTCTCCAGAGCCCAGAGATTCCCAGAGGTGCTCCAATGGGCAGCCAAACGGGGGAGGGGGGATACCATAACAAAATAGCCCATAGGTGGTAAAATTTTTCTATTATCATCTCACAGCTTGGTTTCTTCAAAAGAAAATATGAAAAAATGTCCAAAAATGCGGATGAGATTGACGAGACCACAGAACTCAACAGCTGAGCTCCCCCCGACCCCGCAGTCGATGGACAGTGTCGAACCCTGGGTTTGCAATTTGCATGAATGGATTCTTTTTTTAAATCCCAGTGTTTTATGTGTAATAGGTAAACTAGCCTGATATTTTACGAAAACTGCAGGTCAGTTTGGAAAGAAGAAATTGGGGGGTGGGGTGGCTAGGAGTATAAAGGGTAAGACTTATTTTATACAGGGGAAAAGTGATCTTTCCACTGGCTGGTCCAGAGTTTACATAATAACATGTGTTGTGTCGGAATAATGAAATGCTTACCATCATGAGAAGTCTTAAAGAGAAATATAACCTTTCTCCGATTTGGGGGAAGGGTACCCCAACCATTAAAAATGGTTTCTAAACAGTAATGACCAAAGTGGAAGGACTTGGTGGCACAGATACACAATTAGCTTGGATACTGATGTTGATGGGGAAAAAACAACACAGGTTTTCAACTCATGCTGCACATCCAAAGCTGCCACAGAGGTTATTTTAAGTGATAATTTTCTTAAGAAAGTAGGGTAAAATTTGCTATTAGCCTGCAGCTGCCTTCTCAGTCCCTTGTTTGCTACATGTACTTACCAAAACATGCTTGGATACCCGGTAGGAGCAGAGAGTATGCTTTCTGGAGAAAAGACTTCCATTTAAGTGTGGAGAGAGATACTCTATAGTAGTATAGAGGCCAAAGCACAAAACTATGTCTAAAATCTGTAATATCACAACATTTACGGTATAATCCTATCTGCTAGAGGCCCAGCCTATGCTACAGGAAGTAGGAAGTTTTCTTTCTCCTTCAGGATGCCCGGCTGGCTAACTTGACTGGCTGGAAGGGACCTAGTTTGAACTTTTGGAAGAAGAAGAATTTCTTTGCCTTCGGCATCCTTCCACCTACCGTACTAAACCACTTTTCCCACTCCGGGTATCCCCATCTTCTAGAAGCCCCCCAAGGCATGCCTTCCTCTCCAGTAATCCGGAGCTAACCACGTTCCCTTGGCCCTTGACCAGATATCCCATTCATTGGGGGCAGCTGCTCTGCACCAGGTATGAGGAAGAAAAATCATCTCACATACTTATAATCCCCTTAACTCCAGGAAGCTATTTTCACTTACTGGTAAACAGGTAAGAAAAATAAGCCAGAGAAAATTTCTAATTGTTGGAATTTCAAGCAGCATAAAGAAGGTAGTTTTAAAAAAAAAAAAAAAAAGACAACTCAAGAATTTGCAAGAAACTACAAGGAGATATTGGCAACCACCTAATTAGCAGGTTTCATCCTCTGTGTTTGTGTGTTGCTGGAGGACTTAAACTTCCAGAAGAATGACTGCCACCTGGGCAAGTTTGCTCCCTAGCTAGCTTGTTAGGTCCCAACTCCTGAGACATTTATTTGGTTCGACAGGGATAATGCCACTAGTCTGTTTTTTACAAGCATCCCAGTCACTGATATAAATAAACTATCTTGGGGATATACCACCCATTTCTCCTTCTGCACTTCCTTTTCCATTTCTGAGCCCACACATTCTCCAGAAGGGACTGGGAGAGAGGCAGAGAGACTATTTTATTACAGAAACTGACATAAAAACCTAAAGCTTTAGACAAGTCACTCTGCCTCTTTACACTGCAGTGTCCTCATTAGAAAATGGGAAGCCCGGGTTGTAATTCAGCAGCAATGCTTTTAGCTTTAAGAGTCTATCACCTCAATTTCGTGTAATTATAATCCTCCAAAAACCAGACTTTGAAAACAGGTATACGCCTTGGTGCACCTGCTCCCGACCTCCCTCCTGGCCCAACTCCGGTGAGCTACCTAAAGCTATCTTCAGTGATTTATGTTCAGTGATTTGTTTTTGTATTTGACAAAGCAAAACTCGGGAGCAAAATTAGCCACAAAATGTCAGGGGTTTATAGCAAAAACATGGTATTCTCCAGATGTGCTAAGGCCCGGTTCTCATTAACAGCCGTGTGGACTTTGAGTCCAAAACTTCTTTAGAAGAGCAGAGGAAAAACATCAGTAACTTGATAGAGTATTTAATAAACCATATAACTACTGTACATATACATGCTAGTTCTTCAGGGTGCCACACAAAGACTTCTAGCAGGTCATTCCTTTCATTTTACTCTGCCCCACTTTTCTCACAGAAGCACTAAACTGAGGTCACATACCCATGGCGAGTTTGAGAGCTTTGGCCAAACCGTGGCTTAGGTAATCTACCTTGTCAGCATTGTCTCCATGAAGTAGCTGAGTTACTCCAAACTGAAAACTTAGCCACTTGTCTCTGTACCATTTATTACCTTAAGGCAAGGTTTCTCAGCCTGGGTGCTACTGATGCGAGGGGCTGGGTAATTCATTCTTGCTGGGGACAGTCCTAGGTGTTGTAGGACCTTCAGCATCCCTGGCATCCACCAGACGTTGTGACAATCAAAAAATACTTCCAGACATTGTATCACACCTTCTAGGAAGCAGAATCACCCCCACTGAGAACCCCACTACACTAAGAGCAAGTGGCCTAAATACACAACTTCTGTTATCAGATCAAAATTTGAGGTGGTGGCTCTACTGAGTATTTCTCAAGCACTTTTAAGCAAAGGCGAGTATTTATCCAAGAAATTAAAGAAAAAGCCCATTGCATGAAAAAAAGAGTTATGTATTCCTATTCAGCCCTACTTTTGTTTTAAAAGTAAAATATGGGGCTTATAAAATACCATCTTAAAGTTTCCATTTCATAAATGGTATATAGATTAAGATCTATAGAATGTGATTAAAAACAGTTGCTTCATGCACAGCTCCCACACAAGCCATTTATAAAATAGTAGTTTGTGAGGAAGCTGCCTTGAGACTTGAAATTGTGCATCATTCATTTTAGCAGCAAAAGGAGAGCTCTCAACTGGAAAGAAATTTTTCCTAGCTGGCAAGAGTTCTTCTTATAAAACAGAAGTTATTAACTGTGAAAAGAAAACTAAAACCAATTTATCATAATCACACAAGTGATTATACTAAAATCTATTATAAAAAGTGTAATTTCATAATGTATTTATCTATTCTGATATACAACTGTAAGTTAATATATTAAAAATCTCATCAATTAAGACATTAAACAGAAAGGGGATCCCTCAAACTGAGCACACTGACCCATCTTTGCTATTTCAGTTTGCACATAGAAAATATCCGCATTCATAACTTTTCAGGATTATGCCCTTCATGTACATTAACAATACACATTTTAAACAATTTGAAAGACTAAACATCCAGAGGTAAAAGATAAACATGAGGGTAAAGTTTGAAATAAAAATGTTTACTCCATCCTTGAACCTTAAATAATGAAAATATAGCCATATGTAAATATAAAAAGATGGTTTCATCTGTACTGGATTTTGGAAGATAAAGTCAAAATAAAAGTGTATATACTGCACAGCTATGTTAGAATTGTGTATTTTTTAGAGAGAAATTATCTGATATTTTCCTTCCTGTAAGGTATGAATCTTTAAGATGTGATAAGTACAGTTAATTGTTTTTTTATTAACTGGTTTTGCCATTTTTCTCTCCACCAAAAATATAAAAATGTATGCATGTTCATCAAATTGTATAATTCATTTCTGAGAAATCAAATTGAAAGATCAACATTAGTATGAGAAAAACTCTTAAGTATGAGAATCAAGCAAAATATTATTTAACTGTAAACCAATCTTCATACCACATTACTGAATTATAATTAAAATCGTTCTGAAAATAAAGTTATCTTACTTTGGACTTTTAATTTTGCGGCTTGTATATTTCACTGTATCTTGCACACCCCCATGGAGTCTTGAACCAGTTCTGAAGCAAAGTAAGCAAAGAGTGAGGCTGTTATCTAATCTCTTAAGTTACTAGCAGCGACCACAGGATGTTCTGTAAGAACCTTTAAACTACCTTCATGGTTTAGGGACTAGGTGTAAAACTTTGCCTCTAAACGTGTGTCCACAGATAGGCAGCATTGCATCACCAGAGCCTGTTACAAAATGCGTATCTCTGGTGCCATCCAGAACTACCAAATGCCAGTGGGAAGTTTAACAAGATCCCCAGATGATTCCTATTACGTTACACACTAAAGTTTGAGAAGCCCCGCTCTAAAGTACAACTTCTCTCTTGAAATAAAATGTGTGCTTGGAATAGAGAGGAAAAAAAGGTTGGGCAAACTGTTCCAACTTGCCAAAGGAGTCATGTGAAGGTTTCTTTTGTTTGTTGTTGTTTAAGTTTGAGTAAGCAGGAGGGTTTAATTATTTTAAGGATTAAATATGCTGAAGTTATGACGTGTTAAGAAAGATACAGAGCAAGCTTACCAACTGGCCCTCACTGCACAGATGGCACATTAATGCAAAGCTTGGGTGGCACGTGCTTCCATCTACATTGATGCACAAATGTCTCCCATCCCAGATCAGGTGATCTGTCAAACGCCTTCCTTAACTCTGCCCATCTCAGCTCTGGTGAACCAAGCTGTCAGGGCCGCTTACCAGGGAACCACCACCAGTGAGTGGGTATGCATCGTACATTAACCACTGAGCCACCCAGGCACCCCTGCATCGTACATTAAAATACAACTATGAAGAAAAAGAACATTAGTTTTATCACAGAACAGATCTAAATATTAAGGCTACCAATTTGTCCCAAATTGGAAAATTGTATATTTACTCATTGTTTTAAAGTAATTCCTTTTACTTATTCTATGTCACTTTTTAAAAACTATAAACAGCATTTTTAAAAATTCCATCCTCATCCTATCATAATCCCTCAATATTTTAAACTCAGGTACCTATTAAAGGTCAGTCATCAGGTACCTATTAAAAGTTGTCATCTAAGAACCACTCCTAACTTAAAAGGCTAAGGTCAAATTGCAGTTCTATGCAAAAGAAAAGGAACAGACTAAACATCGGACTCAAGCTGCTCTTATTGCAGCGCTGGCTCTACTGCCCTCTGGCGGATCAGCTACTAACTGCATCACAGACCACTCCCACCTTCAGAGACCTCTCACAACCTCCGTGCAGAGCATGAAGGGACTATGCTGGGTGTCACAGTATGGGAGCGGGGGAGGAGGGGAAACCCACTCATGCATTCAGCCAGACACCCTCACACAACTCTAAGTGCTACAACTATACGTATGTCCAGTGTGTTTAATCTGGGGCATAATACTTAACACCAACAGCACTTCTCAGTGCATGGTAGGGGTCAGGAATTTGACAGGACTCCCTGACCTCAACAAGTCTAAGGTCTAGTGATGGAGAAAACTAAGAGATATAGTCCATCCGGTAGCATTAAGGGCCACAAGATAGAAGGGAAAGTAAAGGAACAGGACTCTAGTTTGAAATAGGATAGTCAGAGAAGGCTCTGTGAGAAGGTAACATGTAACCAGGGATTGAAATAAAGTAAGGAAGCAGACTGTGGGAATACCTGGAGGAAGAACATTCTAGAAAAAGGAACAAGTAAGGGCCCTGTGACAAAATAAGCCACAGCAAAAATGGGGGCGGGGGGGTGAGTGAGGGGCAGGCCGGTGCCCAATCACAGACTATAGGCCACAGTGAGGACTGTGGGTTTCTAGAACGGGATTGGCTCTCAGGAGGTTCTGAGGGACTGACTCAGTGGGAGGCAGAAGAATGGCAGCAGGGGACTGTCAGCAGGCCACAGCAGCAGTCCAAGAGAAATGGAGAGCTGGCATGGTTGACAGATGTAGCAGTGGAAAACACAGGAACAGCTGGAGTCAGACATTCAGGAACCCTTTTTCAAATTCTCCAGTAGGTTCATTCAAGGATTGAAGATCAAGACTCAAAGTACTGGCTTCTTGACCACTATTTCTCAAAACAAACTGAAATAAATTGTGACTCTAATATCATATCCAAAGGACAAAACCATCCACAAAATCACAAAATACTTCACTCACTGACCATCTACTATTACTGCCAAAGAAAACAAAATCCTTTTCATTTTAGTTCTCATTGAAAAATACTAAAACATAAGCAATCTGAACTTCCTACTTCATGGAAGAGTATGTCCAACACAGGCATCTTTCCTCACCTTTCAATGACTCTCCCACCTTTTCTCTAAAGCCTTTCCTCTATCTCTGGTTCCCCTTAAGCCCTCATCCTGAACACCCACTTATTTTTTGTCTCCCTTTTGTCACATGTTACTGGTGTAACATAAGAGACTGTACTTCATTAAACTGTCTTAACTTCTGGAGAAGAAAAATCAAAATATGTTTAAAGACAGAGGTTTACCAAATTTAATTTTAGTACTCTTAAAAAAAAATGTGTGACTTAATCACCAGTTGCCCAAAAGCATTCTTTGTTTTTTTTCCAGGATGATGATGATTCTTCATACATTTCCTGAAAAAAAGAACCACAACAGGTATACAAAACAGAGTGGCTTAATAAATTCAACTACATCTGAATAATACAGGCAAATTAATATTATATCTATTTAAATCTGCTACTCTTCTAACAATCCAACAAACATTTGCATAAGGCACTAAGCGTAGAAAAATGAATAAACATGTTCCCTAAATTTAAGGACTCCCAATCCAGTGGGTGTCCTTATACAAGTCCTTACACAACAATACACAAGAAAACCTAACAAGACAAGGTGCAACCACAAAATGGAATAAACAATTCCATTTGGGGCCACATCAGGAGACCGCCTGAGCAAGGTCATGCAGGGAAAATGAAAGATATTTGGTTTTAAACATTTTTTTTCTTTCCAAACATATCTACTACTTCAACATTTCTAAATATTTTTCTGTAGGCAAAAGGGGTATTTGCATTAGGTGTGAAATTAAGTGACCACCCACGAAGTTTCTAAGTAGATTGGGCTGCACTTTATTGACAACTGTGAGTGTGTGCCCCACCTACCTGCCTACCCGTTGCCTAGATCACCAATGACATCAAAGCACAGGTGGGACTAGAACCCCACAAGAATTTAGATACTTCTTGGAAGGGAGTGGAACAAGAATGTATCACTATTCTCACTCTCCTGCCAAATTCTATTCCTAAGGGACAGAAATCCAAATCTGACTTTCCTCTGAACACCTGTATACCCTTCTCACCCTCCACAGACAGAAAAGCAAATAGAAAGCTCAGCTAGTCCTCAAGGTATAAAAGGAGAGGATGCCCCAACTCCTGCCCACTCTCTTATTCTGGAGGCCTACCCTCTCATTACCTTCTATCAGTGGGGTGTCCCTTCCTCCTCCCTTGTGAAGAAAACTATCTCTGCCACCTAGGCTCACAACTCAATGTAGAATGCTCTTCCTACCTCACTCTATTCAGGAAACGAGCTCATGTAGTCCATCAAAATTGTGGCAGCTTTGTTCATAGCAAAGCCGCCATCTATCTGAGCTTCACTAGCATCCCCTTATAAGAACGGGTTTCAGTTTTTATTCAGAAAATACAGTACTGAATTTCATAGGCCCTGTGTCAGAGTCCCATTTGCTCATCTCCACAACTAACTGAGGTGGTAGGCTCCTAGGAAAGACTCACCCTCTGGTCCTCTGGTCTGGCTTTCTGATCTGAGCAGTTAATTCATTCCTCAGCTTTGCTACCAGCCAAAATGCTGCAGGCAATTCTAGACTCTTAAGTGCAATTACAAGTTTGAGAATTCAGAATAATCCCACTGTTGTTATTACACCAGGGAAGAAATTAGGGAGTTGGGTCTTTTCATCCCTTCAGAATGTCTTTTTTGACCAGAGGTTTGCTCTTCTTGATTGGTTTGATATGTTGACATAAAATGAGCTAGAATTTCCTAAATCTATTTTAAAAATCTACTCACTATGCATTTTCTCCAAAGAGGCAATACCCCACCCTTTCCTTTTCCTAAAAAAAAATTCTAGAGTTCTTTGCTCTTTTGCCTTCAGAAATCTGTTTTAGCTACTGCCTAAATAGCCATGCATTATTCCCACTCTCCAAAAGAAATTCAAGGGAATTCTAATCCAAAGAAAATGAATTCATATATGAACCAATGGAGCAGTCCCAACTAGGAATTCTAGCTGTTACCATCTACTGAGGCCTAATCTGAGCCATGCATTCTTTGGGGCATGTCCTTTTCATGTTTAACAAACCTTCGGAAGGAAACACTACATAAACACCCTACAGATTAAAAAACACATGACTCTAAAGAGTCAGGAAAGCCCCATGAATAGAAGCTGTCACCTCATTAGGTTTTTAAAAATCTGTAAGAAAAATCATGTCCAAATGGCAAAAATAGATATTTTCTTACCTTCTTCCATATGGGCACCTTGGCTTTTAAATTATCGATGGCATAGCTCACAGCTTGGAGGGACTCAGCCCTATGGGCTGAGGACACAGCGATGATGATGCTCGCTTCTGATACTGGAACTGAGCTTTGACAAAATGAAAGAAAAAAAAATGCCATTTCTTCTGAATCTAGTTAAAGAATCTACTAAACAGATGAAAAAAAAAATTCCAGTAAAGCATTCTTACAACTAAACATCCAGTTCTGTTTTATATAAACTTCCACATTAGTTAAAAAAACAGTAATTGATCCCAACCGCATTCAGCAGAGGAGATGCAAAGATTGTGGCTAATTTGTTAGCATCGATCCATTAAACCTGTCTGAAGGGCACTGAGAAAAAGACCTTTCACTGTTTCTGGTTTGGATAAGGTATAGTGCCAGGTAATGCCTAGAAACACAAACTTACTGCATGAGTATAATGTAGAGTTTAAAATATTAAACAGAAATAAATATAGAATGGATAAAATTATTAATAAAATTATAATTGTTAATAATAAAATAATGGAATATCACAGAATGGAGTCCCTATTGCTGGGTTCTATTTAAAGCGTGGAACGCCACTCTTCTTAGTGGTACGAAAAGGCAAACTAATTTAGTGACCTTCAAAAGCATTTACATAAAAAAAAAAATCTATTAACAGACTTGTCATACAAGCTGAGTGCAAACTATGAAACAATTCTTAAAAGGCCTTAAGGACTTTAGCACACATTAGCACAGGCCATCTGTGCTGGGCCTTCCAGTTTTGGCACATTTGGACTTTGTTACAGCATCAGCCACTCTCCAAATGTTACAATGTAACACCCAGAGTATCTCCACTCTGTCTGCCAGAATCATACACAAACCTTCCTCTCATGGTAATACAGGATTCCTATGTACCAATTCTGATTCTGGAATCTTCCAAAGATGGAAAACAACTGCAATTAACTTTTAAATTGCTAAAGGAAATCATACCCAAGTCTATGAAACACTGCTATGTGTTTGACTGGCCATTTCTGCCTAATGTTGCCACAGATCTTTCGGATTTCATTTTCTGCCATTGGGAGATATGCTTCATATTCTAAGCTAATGACTTTTTTCCCTTCAAAGTTATTTCTTGTAGTCCCTAAAAGAAAAAAAAAAAGAATATTATTAAAATAAGGTTTTTCCTTACAATAGAAATAACACATTAATAGAAAAGAGGATTATCTTTTAGTAGACAGGCAGCATATACCAATTTGTCTAAAAAATGCTTTCAAATTTTCTAAGAACAAAAACT